CCTCGAAGGATCGATAACACTCGTATCAAGTTCCTGGTTAGCCATGATCGACTTGTTTTTGGATCGGGTGTTGTATGGGTGAGTTTCCAAAATGCCAAACAAACTAATCACCTGCTTGTACTGAAGTTGTCAACAACAAACTTGTTAGCGATCAGGGTTTAACAGATAGGCAACCGCATATTTGGGGAATGTAATGCACCTAAACAGTTAACCCTTTCTATTATGCATTTGATCGGCTGCTTGGTCATCCTGCTTTCCTCAATTTCCATTTGACAACTTTTCTTTTTCCACTCTTGCCTTTCTTTGCTTGATTTCTCGTTGTTCTTTATTCTCTCATTTCTCTTTCTTGTTTTGCCATTATTTCCTTCTCACGGTTTCTTATTTTCTCTTTTTTTTCTTTTTCTTTTCTCTCTTGTTTTTCCTCTCTCTTTCCCCTTTTTTTTCTCTCTTTTCTTTTTGGTTATGATCGAATCCTATGGAGATTGCCTACGTATCATAACCCCGCATGAATCAGATCTTTCCGTAGTTCTGGGGGATAAGTGTAAAAATAAATAATAAAACATTTTGGGATTTTTAAATTTTTCATAAAAGGAAATGTTTTGATTACAACGACTCAAAAACTAACAGACTCAAAAAGGAAAGTAACAGACTCCAACATCAAGATGAAAATACAGACTCGAAAACAAACTAACACACTCCAACAGAAAGAAAATACAGACTCGAGTAAAAATCATGAATACATCAATGCCCAAATGCTCCTGGAGCCCGCGGGACATCATTCATTCTTGCCACAAGCCTACACACTAAATCCCCTTGGATGTGGTAGAGATCTTCCATTATCTGGCGGACAAAGGTCATTACAGTGGCAAAGAACATGGATCTAGTCATATCCTCACAACTACTGCACTTCATCGCGATGTAGTCGGCGATTCTTCTGACTCTCTCTCTTATGAAACCCATTTCCTACAATAAACGCCCAATCTGTTGGGCCTTGGCTCCCAAAGTTTTTTGGCTACATGATTCTATTCTTGAAGTTGTTGCAAATCTCTTTCTAATTGTGCCATTGCTGTATAACAGTGTTCTCTTTCAGCCTTAAAGTCTTTCGCCTGCTTGATCATTTTGTTCTCAACGGTGATGACCCTTTTCTTCAACCCTGCAACCTCATTGTCATATTTCTCTTTTAACTGTTTAACCAGGCGTGCTCGTTCCTCCGCATTCTTGGCCAATTTTGTTTGAGCTCTTTCTAGTTCGCCTTCGGCCTTGTTCAAATCAAAACCATACTCACTAACCTTCAACCTAAGGTTATATATAAGCTTTCCATCTTTTGCACTTCTGGCAGGGTTTTCGGCTGCTATTTTCATTTCCCGAATCTGGGCTCGTAGGGCCTCATTTTCTTTGGCTAACCTTTTCTTTTCGCCTTCGGCTTCTTGTGCTTGGAGATCATTGTCGAATTCCATGTTTCTCAGTTTTTCTTTCAAGGCGTGAATCTCGGCTTGATATGTCTTTTCTTTTTCCCACCATGCCAACCTTTCTTGGATTTTGTCATTAAAAGCATGAATATGTGGTATTTTGGCAGGCCTCTCGGGCTCGGGCTCTGGATCGTTGTTTACGCAAGATCTTTTCTCAAACCTAGCAGCATAGTTTGGATCTACTTCCCCCTTTACCACATCTGGTACCTAAGTGCCATTTTTCAGATACCGGCAGCTATTCCAATCCCACTGAACTAAGACCTCGTGCAATACAACTTCTGGATGCAGCTCTATGACCTGGGTTCTTAGATCTTCATCTTCGGGCATAATCTAATATCTTCCCAATTGCCTCAAGACCCTCTGCGGTGCATATGGCTGGATACTCTTTACACCCATCAACCTCAGGTAGCCCTAGGTAGTAGTCATGTATATGGCTTCTGTCCTTGGGAGCCATCCTATAGTCCACTCGACCTAACCTGCTTTGAGAGCTTTCAAGTTGTAGACCCATGCTTCAAACCCTTCTGGCACGTTGTAATCCTTTACCCTCTCCTCGCAACGGGTGATGAAGTTACTCGGGATCGAACCATAACTCGTGAATCTGGGGTGATGGCGAAGATGCTCGATCAACCACATTTGTAGAAGGACATTGCAACCTTCAAAGAATTGAACCCCGGATTTGCATAATGTCAATGCTCGATAAATATCCACCAGCACCAACGGGACAAGTGTATGATCTTCCTTGGTAGTGAGGATTTATGCAATTCTAACCATAAAGATATCCATTGTCCCTTCCTCATTTGGAAAAACCATAATCCCCAAGAACGCCACAATAAATGCAAACAGACGATGAATTTGCCAAAGGCCTTTATCTTGTTTATTGCTCAAACCCTTTTCATGCGTTTCGAAACCAGCTGAGTGCCCGAACCTGAAGTATAAGAAATGGAAAGCACAACACTCTTTTTTTACATGGGCTTTCTTCATCTGTTTACTGATATTCAGGAGGTCAAAGAACTTGTGCACCGACGGAGCCCTCGGAAATATAAGTTGTTCCTTCCTCAAATCCTGGCCAAACTCAATGTATCCAGTTATTTCCTCCAAAGTAGGGGTGATCTTGAAGTCCGAGAAACGAAAAACATTGTGGGCAGGGTCCCAGAAGTTACCAAAGCCTTAATTAGATCTTCCCGTGGTTTAATCTCAAAAATGTTTATACGGGCACCCAACTGCTTTTTCACCCATTTCTGACTATCTTCATCTAGATCATTCCACCACATATGCAAGTGCAACTGAGCCTGTTCTCTGACCACTTCTAGCGGATCCTGGATAGTATTCATTTGTTCCTGTGGAAGGTTAAGGTTAGGGTTGACTCTAGTGGACTTTTTTTTTGTAAAACAGGTTTCCAAAAATTTTGTTTTTTACGCGAAAAAATCAAGGACCATGATTCCTTCCCATATATTCCAATTTTAGCCAAATGACTGTTTTTACAAACGTGGCCCCTTCCCAATGCCATATGAATTTTGAGGCCGGGGAGGACTATTTTATGACACTTCACAAGCTTGTCCGTTCTTTTTCCGAAAATAGCCTTTCGACAACTGGAAATACTCTAAGGCTATCTCGGCAAGAATGATTTAAGACATTGCCGGAGCTGGATCAACTTATTTTGACCAAAACTCCAAACTACATTCACTTGACCACTAACTCACTTTTTCTTGTTTTTTTTTTCCAGAAAAAATAAGGCCGAACCTTACGTAGGTTGCCTACGTATCCCACATTCGGTGAGAATCAGACCTGCGTAGTTCGATCAGCTTTGACACATTTGAAAAGGACACAGTGTTTGACTCTTTTGAAATAACTCTCTTTTTTTTGAACAATTTTGGCAGAGTTTCGGGATGTTTTTAGATACCGGGGTTTTTCTTTAGAGCCAGGCTTTATTTCCTTCCCTACATCACTCTTGGTTTTTCTTTTTGCTTTATTTTCCCTAGCCAGTCAGCATGCAAGCCGAAACAAATAAATGTTCACATAGCTCATACAATGCATCAGGATGGTCTGTTATTTTGGGCACACCTGTCCTAGACGGACCCAACCCCTGTGTTGAGTCCCATAAGTCAAATGCACATGATGCAAATAAACGTTCCTACTAGGGATCCGACATGAAGCTGTGTTTTTCTAGGTTCAAATCCTGGGGTTTTAGTCTAGACTTGGGGTACCCGAGCGGACAACTGGGGCTAAAGAGGGGGCGACGTACAGGGAGCACTGAAGTCTACCCGGCTTTGTCGCTTGCCCAACCTCATTCTATTTGGTATAATTTCTACAAAAAAAAGCGTGCTACGCGAACGTCTGCACCATTTCCAAAAGACTCAGAGGGGTGGCGTAAGAAAACAGTTGTATACAATTTATACAATATTTAAGCAGTAAACAGATAGCATTTAGCATAAAAGGTTCACAGAATACAGTAATATCAACAATAAATAAAGCCAAGCAAAATCATATTAACAAGCTCGAATTCGAAACCCTGAACCATAGATTCTAGGTTCTTGTCCCCAGCAGAGTCGCCAAAGCTGTCACACCTCCTTTTTACCGCCCTGGAAGGGAGTAAGGGAGTTTTTTTCAATTTAAGTGATAATCGAAATGAGATTATTTATTTAAAAATCAGAGTCGCCACTTGAGATAATTATGGTGTCCCAAGTCACCGGTTTAAAATCTCAAATCGAGAAAGTTGACTCTTATTTATGGTCTACGAGCACAGAAATCCGGGTAAGAAATTCTGTTAATCCGGGAGAAGGTGTTAGACATTCCCGAGTTCTGTGGTTCTAGCAAGGTCGCTTTGATCATACTTGGCTTATTAAATTGTCTAATTATTTATTTAAGGACCTAGGTGCTTTTACCTTTTACCACCTTTTAATTAAGAAATTATCTTGAAACGGGTCACGCGCACGTGTACCCATTTATTTGGCCCGTCAAAAATCATGTCACATGAACGTGTCCATAATTAATAATGCTTTATTATTATTAAGAAAAGTTTGGCCAAAGTTGCGAGAACGCATACTCCGATTTTATTTTTAAAATCATAATCATGTCACGCTAACGTGTCCACAACCACAATAATATATTAAATGTGCCTAAAGAAAACTACTATCATTTGTTATTTTTATATCTAGGTTATCAATATGAGGGCCATGAATAATTAAATTGTAGGTGGTACACCTCAAAACTATATAAACTAAAATTAATTAGTGGCCTATTAAAACAATTTCAATATTAAGAGAGTTTAACCGAAGATGCACGACCGCATACTCCGAATTGATTTTTTAGAATTGTAATTATGTTATGCGAACGTATACACAATCACGATAAGTATATTAAGAGCATGCCTAAAAGCGTTTCTACAAAGTTTATGAATTGTTTATTTCATATCAGCTGGAATGATCTATAAGGTCCAAAGGTCCATGAAATTCAACTGATCATAACTAGCCAAAGTCACGCCTTAGTTTATTTTGAAACTTCATAGAGAATGAAAACTATAAAGTCCGCATCTTCAACAGAAAATCAAAACTTCATTGCAAAAGTAAATGAAGAGCAGATAGTAGATTGGTACTTCTCTTCAGTATGTCAATACCAAAGAAAGGACCTGCCTGCTACTGACAGATTATGCTATACATATGAGAAAATAAAATTACCTTCTGTATAAAAATCTTCCTACTTCAATTCTTCATTTTGGTTCTATACAAATACTCTCAACCAACAAATATACTTACGGAACAAAATAAATAGACAAACTTATATCTTAGTGTTTATCAAACGAATTAGACTAACAAATAGACTAGGCATAAATAAGCACATCAAAGAACTCAAATGATGTCAAATTAGGAAGTAAATTATGTGCATCAACTTTAGACTAGTCAGTACTATACAGAGCAGTGCCCAAAGATCCAATTTCCTTGTTGGAGATTATCATCCTGCGCTTCTTAAGCAAATGGAAAGATCGAGAAGCAAATGAGTTTGCTCACAAGACTCGAGGTTACCAATTATTTGAAACAGAAATCAGAACATATTGTCTGCGATATTTGTATAGCACTCAATCAAGAGATGAATTAAAAGAGGGACAGCAAAGCTTAACAAGAAAGCATGGTACTAAACAGTCACACATATTAGCTTACTTCTTTTATCAATCAAGCACATGAACTGCTGCACAGATAGATATGCCTAGCAGGAATTTGATAATCACAACACTTAAGGTCAATTGGAAGCCTGATTCACGAATTTCAAACTATTCACACACAAAATCTGATTTGGCGCGTACATGGTCAAGATGATCCTAACACTTCAAGCAGATTTCTCGTTTGAGAAACAAGTGGAATCAGTAAAGACAACTCCAACTGGATTCAGCTATTCTATTCCAAACTCGGCTCGCAAACATTAAAACATTGATAGCAGGATTCAAAAGGCTCTAGGCTAAAACTGAGAGTAAATGACTTTAAAAGAGTCCAAATTTCCACCTAACATATGCAATTTGAACAGAGACCAAACGAGCCCTCAATTTACTGGAAATCCATGTCAAAAACCAAAGAACTTCATGAAAGAATCTGATGAACCAAGTCGATGGTTCAAAACACTTATCTTTTTACTTAAACCATTAAAAACTAATACCAGTAAGAGCAAAACAAATACTGCAGCCAAATGACAGACATACAACCATGAACTGGAGGATTCACATTTCAAGTTTTCAACACAATTTCATGAACACCATATTCCGAAGGGATTAATAAAACGGACGATTCAACGTTTAAAGTTACATTCAATCCTTCAGGAAAATGACACATGAATACAATCAAAGCCACAAAAACCACGGCTCATTGCGTGTTCAACCAATCATCAAAATAACTAAGAAAGAGCCAAGAAATGAACCTGAAGTTGTGAAACTCTTCGCTTAAACCCAGCAAAGTCCAGCAATGGATATTCGAAGCAACAACAGAGGACAAAAAAAAATCAAATCAGTGACCCAACTTCAAATGTCGAACTTGATTTTCGGCTTAATCAATTTCCATGTTGAAACCAAAATTCAAAAATCAAACTGAAGATGACTGAACTACCTATATATTTTATTTCTTTTTCTGATTCTGAAATTTAAAGAAACGAAATTAAACAAAATGGAAAATCCAAAAAAACGAGAAACAGAGGTTCAAAAGAAGACCCTCTTGAAATTTCCTATGTCTCGAGCAATTTTTTTCTGAAAAATTCTCCGAAAGCTCTCTCCGAAAATCCTCTCCAAAAAATCCCCCTTACACAAGAAATGACCTCACCTTATATATACCTCCAGGCTTCTCGAACCTTCTCCCTTTATCTCCAAGAAATCCCCAAAACGAAAATCCTCCTCCTAAAACAGATTTCTCACCCCGTTTTTTATGAAAGAGGGACAAATGGAGGGAGTAGATTAGTTCAAATCCAATCTAACGCTCCCTATTTTTCCTTATTTTCATTTGGAGGGTGAAAAATCTGAGATTAATCAAAGAAGCATGTGAGGGAAAAGGGAATCTGTCAGAAACGGTTAGAAATATGGTGACAGGGAGAGAGGGGGAACGTGTGAGGTGAGATTGGGGCTCACTCGCCTGAATTTTGGCAATTGTTTGGGAGTGGATTCGGGTGTTTTGGAGAAGAAGAACAGTAACGCGTCTCTGAATCTTGGGAGATTAGGGCTGTCCGTTTATTGTGTGCTTATCAGCTATTTGGAATGGGTCTGGTTTGGGCTGGGGCGGGTTTTGGGGAAACGGGCTATGCATAGGCAATTCAATTGCCAAAACCCAAAAATCAGCCTTCTTTTCAATCTCTTCCTTTTCCTTTAATTCCTCTTTTTCTTTTCATTTCTTTTATATTAAAATTTAAAATAAACTAAATTAATTCCTAATCACAATATCCTATCAAATTGAATTAATTAACTTTAACTAATAATTATCACAATTAATTAAAAACCAAATTAAAGGAAAACTACTAAAATTCAAAACTAAAGTTGAAAGTGCAAAAAATAAACTAATTTTTGTGATTTTCCCATTTCTATAAGACAACTAATTTGCTAATTAGTCTAACAAAATGTAAATTTAAATCCTAAATGCAAATGCAACATTATTAATTTTTTGTATTATTAATTAATTAAACAAAATCAACACGCGCAGACAAATGCAAACAATTAACAAAAAAATGCTACAAAAATCTACGAAATTGCAAATAAAGGGAGGAAATTATTTTCTTGGATCTATGAGAGTAATTCATATAGGGCAAAAATCACATGCTCACAGGTCCTTCTTGGCATGTGAAGGACTTAAGGAAAAACAACTAAAAAGCTCCTAAAAACATGTGAAAGGGGTGAAATATACATGGTGTAGCATATGAAAGTATGAGGGAGCATGTGACTACATGTGAAAGTAGGGTGTTGCATGTGATGAAGCATGTGGAAGCATGTGAAAACAAGTGGAAGTGGGGCCCAGATAGTATGGAAAGATGTGAAAATTTGTTTTGGCATGTGTAGATGATTTTTGAGGATTTTTTGGTAGGTAATGTAGGATTAGGGTGGGATTAATAGGAATTTAGATAATTATCCTTCATTGATTCTACGGTTGTCTTCTAGGCATCTTTTCAAAGACCTTGTGTAGTAATGCCTAGAACTTGACGATCCTTCTCTACTGTGTTCTTTCTCCTTTGGATTGAGAGATGTAATTCGCAACTTTAATCTAGAAATGTTGTGAGTGATCTTTTCTCGGATGACTTCGTATGGGGTTTGATTTTCTTTTGCTGCTTCCCGGACTCTTTGCCAGTGAGGATGAGTGTTGGTATAATTCCGGCTTGCCCAATCTTTTGGCCATATCTCTCTCGGGATGCACCTATTTTGCTAGAAAAGGATTATTTGTGCATCGCTATATTCTTCCTCCATTGATAAAATGGACACGGGAAATTTCCACCAGAATGATGCCTCTGCTTGCGCCTTGAGTTTTCCATTAATAATCTTTATTGGACTATGGAACGTGAATACTTTTGTTGTTTAGGAATCGTTGAAACATGTTATCCAATATATTCTAGGTTTGAACCATAGCAAAAATACTTTAAGAGCTGGTACAATGTTATCAAAATCCTTGAAGACATTGCATTTGAATTCCATGAAAATATAATACTAATGGCATAGGTACCAGAAAAACCATAATAGTTCTTGTGGAAAATCCTTGGCTTGAGCTATGAATATATGGCAGAACGGATATTCTGGATTGACCCCATAAGGCTTAAGGATGGATCCTCCATGTTGTCAGAAAACTTGGAGCTCATAATAAGTTTTTCTTTCCATTAAAAATGTTGGATAAAAGGGATCCATGAGGTTGAACAACTCCGGTGGATGATCTGTCGGTTTCAATGAACTTGTTCATGGTACATTTGAAAACATGAAGATGTGGCTGATTAGATTATGTTTTGACTTCATTTTTGGGGGGAAAATCTCTTTGAGAATTCTTCCGGTTGACACAGAAAATCTGCAAGAATATTATCCTTTTCTTTCAGTGCTTGACTTGAAATTTTTATGGAGAGAACCACTGTGCCCATCTGAGAAGCTGAGGATTGGGAATAATTTTTGCATTTATCTGGATCATCTTTGGGAAGGCCTTCATATCCATTTCTATCAGAAATTCTGTATGTATCAAGAAAGAGTTGAATTTCTTGATTCCATTCTTTACTGCAAGAATTTTCTTGAAAGTGGAGTGATAATGCTGCTCGACATCTTTGAACTTTCCACTGGCGTATCCACATATTTTCCTCTGGCAATCTTTTTCTACAAATAGAATAGCACTCCAACATTCATTGATGGCATCAGTTTGCAGTATCTTCTTTCCATCTAAAGGGATGCAGAGGGACTTGACATTATTAGATATCTCCTTTATTTTTCTGACTGATTCATCCTGTTTTTCTCCCCATGATGGAGCATTTTTCTTGAGCATTTCTGTGAGTGGTGAAATGTATGTAGAGATATTTGGGATGAAATATCTTAAATAATTTATTACACCCAAGAACTGTTGGATCTCCTTTGTTTAAGGTTGGTGTCCGGATATTTGAGTAATTCCTGACATATATATGGTCATGGACTATATTCACCTTTGATAAAATTCATTCCGAGAAAATCGGTCTCCTTTTGAGCAAGAACCATCTTTTTTGCAGAAAGCATGATCACGTATTGTGCTACCAATGCCTCAAATTGATGAAGCAAGTTGATATGTTCTTCCAATGTATCACTAAATAACAGGATGTCATCAATGTAAACTAGGGAGGTATGGAGGATGGGTTGGAATATTTTTATCATGGCTTTTTGAAATAAAGAAGGTGCAGTTTTTAATCCGAAGGACATGACTTTCCATTAGAAGTGATGATCAGGGATGCAAAATCCCGTTTTGGGTCTTTTTTCAGGGTGGATTCCCAATTTCCAAAATCCAGATTTTAGATCAAACTTGGAAAAATATTTGGCCTTGGCTAAGTGGGATAAAAGAGTGAGTTTATTTGGGATGGGAAATTTATTATCTTGGAGGAAGTGGTTAAGGGATTGGTAGTTAATAACTAACCTAAGTTTTCCTCTTGTCTGCTCAGCTCTTTTGTTGACATAAAATACTTCGCATGCCCATTGTGAATCTGACGACTCTATTAGATCAAATTCCAAAAGTTCTTCGCATTCTTTCTTTGCAAGCTGAAGATGATCTGGATTCATGCCTGAATGACTGGCTTTTGTTGGATTGATGTTTTCATTTTTCTTGAAAGGGAGCTTGATAAAAAACTCTTTGTTTTTCCACAATGGTCATTTCCCTTTCTTCATGAAATCCTTATGGGATTCAGCACATGAATGTTCAATGAGATTTTGCTCAATTTCTTTGATCTGTTTGTCATTGGTGATTTGGTATAGCCTGGGAATCTCAGAATAAGGTTTGAACTGCTTTTTAAAAACTATCCCATTAGCCTTGATCTGGAGTTGATCTCTAAGTTGTCTATAAATGTCGAATCCAATAATAAGATCTTTTCCTGGTACATCAGACCCTATCAGCTTGGTTCTGTACTTCAATCTTAGAAAAAACTCAATTGTGACCGGATGCTTTGTGATGACGGTGGTAGTCAGGATTCCATTTGATGCAGTGTTAAAATCCTTAAAGTGCGGCACCTATTGATCTTCATAGAGAACAACTGGATTTATGAGTGAGGAAGCAACTCCAATGTTGATGAAAGCAATAACTCGAGTTGGTTTATCCCATTTGGATGAATAGACCTTGAGCTCTACTTGAGGAATGACTGCGAGAGCGATGATCTCTTCTCGAGCTTCGATTACTAGTTCTGAAATTTGGTAGTGATCATTGCCTTGATCTTCATAGACATCAAAAGAGAATAAAGTTTCTTCATTAGGTTCATCATCCACATAGAATATGGATTCAAGGTCCTCCTCTTTTCCAAGATGTATGCCAGTGTAATCTTCAATCTCTTCAAGGAGATTGACAGATCTTCTTGATTGGGGAATTTTTTTTGTGAAATGTCCAATCTTATGGCAAATAAAGCATCTGTTCTTCTTGTGAAAATTTCCTGGCCTCTGCGTCTGAAATATTTTGTGCGTCTCTTGGACCTTGATTTTCCATCTGGAATTCTTGGCCATCTGAAGCTCCTGAATTCTTTCCGTCACCTAGATGTGTGGCAGGAACATCCTGATCCGATGATTAGATCAGATTTGCGGCATGCTTTGTCAAGTGCTGGATTGTGCTGGATAATTTGCTTTAGGGCTGAGCACTTCGTACAAATGTTACCCAATGCGACGAAAATAGCTTTCCTGATGTAACCAATTTATGGGATTGTTATGGACTGAAACATTTTTTCAATGATGGTCATGGTTCGGCTTACCAACAGCTTTGGAAGGGAAAAGACAAAGGCTTGCTTCAGATTGATGTCTCCGCCGATTTCAAAGTATATCTTTGCCATTTTTTGAAAATGCCTGTCAATGTCATTTCTATCGAATGACACACACCCATCTCGAAGAGTTATCTTTGCATTTTCTCCTGTATTTGGCCAGTATCTCCGCAGAAAACTTCATGTAGGATCCTGATTTTGAAGGCAAAATCTTGGGAAGTAACAAAAGTATTTTTGTCTTGAATTCCAAGTGAGTTCCACCAATCTTTGAGGATTCCTGAGAACCGTGAAGTGAATTCTGACAGGATGATATACTTTTCTCGTTCCACCAAATTCTTGGTCACCATCCAAGTATAGAAGTCTTGGATCCTTTGAGGCCATCTTGAAACCTTGACGTCATCGAAGGTGAAAGTGTGGAAACCAGTTCCAACTAGTTTTGACGCCATGGGCTCATATCTTCTTTCTGGGATTGGCTCATGTGTCATGCCTTCTTGTTCCTCATCTACTTTAGATACTTCTGGGTCTCTTGGCTGGTTTACAAAATTGGGGGATTGTCGTCTTCGGAAGAGTTTGTTGTGGATTCATTGCTTAATTGAGAGTTATCTTCCATTGTTTCATCGTCTGATGAATTTAGAGATTCCGACCATGGAGTATCTTCTTCTAATATGTATCTTGGCTGGGAGACATAGAGGTTTGGAGCCTTCTAGTCAAAAATCATCAGATTTTCGCGGTTTGATCCTTTTGAACTTTCTCCTTGGTCTCGCCTTTTCTTGGTTTGTTTCTGTGCTGCAAGGGCATCTTT